TGGTGGAAGGAGAAAACTGAATCACATGAGTTGTCCTCTGACTTACACACACACACACACACACACACTATGGCATGCATGCCACCCCACAAAAAGCACACAAATATAAATAAATATAATAAAAACGTAAAGATATATGCCGGGTGTGGTGGCATACGCCCTTAATCCCAGCACTTGGGAGGCAGAGGCAGGCGGATCTCTGTGAGTTCAAGGCCAGCCTGGTCTATGTAGTGAGTTCCACGACAGCTGGGGCTGCAGGGAGACTGTCTCAAAAAGACCAAAAAAAAAAAAAAAAAAGTAAAGATATAATACAAATAGGAAGCATTGTAACAGAAAAATGTTAGAGATAAACTCAAAGGAGTTTGGATAGTGCTGAGTGGAAAAGCATCCGTGGGCTTCAAGGTAGTGCAGCAGGGACCTTCCAAACTAATACACAAAGAGGAGGGAAAGGGAAGGAACAAAGCGACAGGCATCTCAGAAGCTCTTGTGCATGTGAAATTGGAAACCAGAAAGAGAAGAAAGCGAGAAAGAAGAAGAAATATCTGAGGTCAAAATGGTCAAGTCTTCTAAGATGAATGACAGGTACCGAAGGGCAGACGCAGGCCTCTGGGAGTTTACACGATAGGGTAAATAACAAGAGAGTCCACGTGCAATCATGTCATATTCAAACCGCAGAAAACCTCAAAGAGAAATCTTGAAAAAAAGCCAGAGATGATAGGGTGGGGGGTAGGGGAGCTAAACCGCCAAGCATCGAGGAAGAATCACAGCAAACTTCTTAGAAGCCATGTGAGCAGGAAGAGTAGGAAAAAATACAACGTGATAAAGGAGAGAACCTGCCAACTAGACGTCTACAGCCAGCAAGCCTAGCTGGACTTGGTGGCCTACAGCTACAGCCACAGCGCTGAGGAAGCCGAGGCAGGAGGAGCCTGAGTTTACGACCAGCCTGGGCTATAAAGCAGAGGAGAGAGAGGAGAGAGAGAGAGAGAGAGAGAGAGAGAGAGAGAGATCTGGGGAGAAATCTTTAGTTGGCTATTTGGGCCAGGTACTGAAAGGGAAGAGTGCTGTAAATTCATGCTAAACATGTAAAACCAGTTCTTAAATGGTAACTGTGGGAGCAGAATGATCATCATCCTCAGAGATACCCACATCCTAAGAGAGGTGAAAAATGTCCCAGAAAAACAAAAGCTGAAGGAATTCGTCATTATTAAATGTGC